TCAAGAAGAAGAGATAAGGTTTAGAAGCAAAATAATGTCACATGTTTATTTTTAACACAACATAGGCTCTAACTGAGAATACATTTGCTGCTTTAACTATTTCTTGATCTTGATGTTTAATCGAATTCTACATTATAAAATAGTAAATATCTTATCTACTTTAGTAGAAAGAAGCTAAAATTCTTTTGGGTATTTGAAATGAATGACGCAAATCGTGCAACATGAAAAATCTCAAAGTATTTAATTGTTGCTCTTGTCAATCCACTTGATGGCAGCTTTTGAATTACATACAAAAAAAAGGAAGAATGCTCTCTGAGAATTGAATTGTAGATTGCTGTCTTTCTTTTAATCAGCTTATTAGCAATCTAAACAAAAAACTTTCAGAAATGAAGCTTTTTATTGCGGAACGCTTGTCATTTTCAGCTAAATGCCGTTGAGACAGTCTATAAGAGCCACCTGTAAATTAGCTCAAAAATATTTGAAGAATTATAACCTTTTTCGACCATATTCGCCGATAACCGATGAGCATGATCTTCAGAATAAACTAATTTCAACACGTCTATTTGGTGTCCTCCTGTTTATATCGTCAATTATTATTGTTCTATAGACAACAGTACCTAATCGAAGAATAATAATTACAACAGAATCGCCGACATTCGAGTAGTGTAAGTATCTCTACAAACGCAATCAAAGTAGTTTAACATGTTTATGTACTGCAATTGCAGTTCCATACGAAAAATTTATTATTCAATTATTTTCGCAATATCATCAAGTATGTTCCAGTCAATTTGTGACGAATGAATGGCTTATCTTAATAATGACTCGGCAGTGAAAATTTATTATCGTGTACCGTTGGTTATTCATTTCAAATGTTATCTGGGCTGTGCCAGCTAATTAATCAAACAGTGAACGATAAACTTCTCACATTTCATTCAGGGGCATACATAACACCGTCACTAGTCTCAGCGCAAACATTTGAATCTGACATACAGTCGATACAATAATTTCCATTGATAACAACCAATGCATTTCTCAGATCATCGGGTACGCAGTACGACGCGAGGAAATAGCTTAATGCCTAGTCTACTAACAAATAGTGAACGTAGATTCACTTAACATGTTGGCAGTATTAATTATCTTAGTGTAATAGCATCTAGTTTTAATAATAGCAATTGTTCTTGTGATATAACAATAAAATGTATTGAATCATCAGCGATATAGACGTTCTACAATCCATCCGCATTTGGCGGTAGACCAACAGCGTTGACTGCAGAATTTATTGTACCTGATCTCTATCTTGGGTGTTATATATTAGAATCTCTTCTACAATCAACTTTGGAATGTTTTTACAATCAATCGTGTGTAGAAGAAATACAATCATGGATATTCACTGATTATATAAACGTAGTACTGCTTGACATAACACAATCAAGTCAATATCAGCCAAATACAACTATTCAAGAGATTGTAAATAAGCTAATAATTGTAGAATGGCATGTAATAACATCTAATCAATTATAATATAAACAATGTAATCCGTCAGAATGCATATATAGCTACCTTTGCTCATTTGATTTTCTTTACGCATTAACAAAAGCTATAGCATTAATTCCGGGTGTCGTGAAAGTATTAATAATTCTTGTGCCAATTGTAGTGGAACTGTTTAGAAGAAAAAAATCAGTAACTAACAATGTCAAGAATCACAGTTTGTCTTTTCTGCTGGAAGAGAGGCTTGAAGTATGGGAAATGTCCAACTGAAGAAACGTTTTATACCTGAAGAAAAAGATTAGCGTAAAAACTAGTACTTTCGAAGTTTAAACTTCCTTATTAATTACGAAATACTATTGATAAACAAATCAGCTCTGAGGAGAAAGCGTGGAACTAAAATTCAACTGCTTTTTATCAAATATGAATTATTTTGTAGTTTCTAGGGGGCTGAAGTCAAATACTAATTTTTTCCATGTTTCAGTTCGTTATACCGTGAAGAATTGAACAGATAGAGAAAAAATTTGCAACACCTACTGGAACTTCTGTTCCACTTATAACTTGAAAATGAATGAATAATTTGAAAAAAGATGGTAAAAGGTTTTCCATTTCAGAGCATCCAGTAAGATCCTGAGCATGCTTTTTTCCATTGACGACGTCCTTAGCATTCACATATTATAGAGATCAATTAACGACAGCGTACAAGTTACGTTTGAGAATATCTATGATAAATGAAAGTGTAGAAGATAATTTTTCCTTTCTTTGTTGCAAGCAATTTTGTTTCCTGTCTGTTCTATTTCATGTCCTCCTTTTCAAATATTTGTTCGTGTTCAAACAGCTAACAAGATAATAAAGTCGTTATAATAGCATATGAATTATTTAAGAACATATGGAAGACAACACATAGGAAGTGCTATGGACACAATCATGTTATTAAAATATAGAGGTATTTTCGCTATAAGCTAAGCAAAAAATTTATGGATAACAAATTTTGTACAAACCTTTTGATTTTTCTGTTTGTCCTGTCAAGTAACATATACTGTTAGTCTCAGAAATAGGGTGTTGCATTTCTTTGTACATAGTGATCTTTGCTGACGTCAATTCAAAACATAGCGGTGAACAAGAAAAATGTTAGTCTACATCGAAACCATTAGGAAAGACCAAATACTTTTCGGAACCTAGCCATTAAAAAAAATTCCAGCAGACGTAATAAGAAAAAAAAGCATACTGTTTTTATTTTATTGAACGTAACAACAATATAGGAATGAGACAAGTATCGACTAATAACCTACGTCAATGTTTCGACATGCAACGAAAAATAGAATAGAAAACAATAGCGCAGAATATGTTCAAAATGAAATCGACGAGTTGTGGACAAGAGAATATGTTGGAATTTTACTTGCGAGTGCATGAGACAGATATTTTCTTTTGAGATGGGCAACAACGTCAAGGTAAATTATACTGTTAATGCAACTAATGGCAACATTCTTTTATGCCATGGCGATATTTCAACCTAATAACGACCATAATAGATTGAGATATTATCATGAAATAAAAGAATGCTGTCTTTTCACATAACTACATTAATAATACAATTTCTCTTGAAATGTATGGGGAAGTGAAAACGATGTAAAGTAAGTAAACGATTGAGAGTTAGGTTGAATGTAAACTTTTCTTGAAGACATTTCACTTATGGTTTTTTTGCCATAAGTTTTCATGATTATATTCTCGCATGGTTGTGACGGTCATTTATCACAGAAGACATGTTCGAAGAAGTGGTCCCAGCTGCTTGGGCTTTAATGATGAACCATGCAAGAGTTAACCTTCACGCTTTGTGCAAATAATCAGGAAATATTTTAGAGTATTTACTGTAATTTTGAAGTGAACACAATATTCCAAGGCTGAGATATGAATTTTGTCGAGGAGGAGCTCATGTTTAAAAGGTAACTCATGAGCTATCATGGTAAGAAGTTTAACGCTAATGCAGCTAAGCAAATTGATGACATTTTATTGTTGTCTTTATAACGATAGTTCGACCTTTATGCATATTTTCAAGTCAAAGAAATTCAGTAATTAAAAATAAAATGAATAAAACAAACATAACAAGATGAATAGAATAAAATTGAATAAAATAACAAATAAAATGATTGAATTGTTGATTAGCCATTCATGACATCCATTTTTGCCCGTGATTATTGACTGATTGTTGTTAATGGATGCCATTACCAGACACTTAGTTTGCGTTTTAGTACTGTTCGTTCTATATCACTATCAGAATAAGAACATAAGAGAACTGATCGATTTGTTTGATTCAATACAGGATCTGTTGTCCCTATTGTAAATGATTCTTTTAATAATAAATTTAAATCGATGTTTTTCTAATAATATTATTCTGTAACTGTTTCTTTATTACTTAACTTACTACTCGACTAGTACTATAAAAGCAGTCAGGTATTGATTTGCACGGTATGTTTTGGTAGTGGATATTTTTGTAAAAATTCGAAATATCTTTTCCATAAATACTCGTCTGTGATGGAACTTTTAACATGATCGCATGAAGAATAACATTTTGAGGTCACTTTTTTTAAAATACTTGTTTGGTCTTATATGCTTATTCTTGAGATCCGCTTGATATAGTCTATGATTGCGACTGAACATTACTTATGTTTTTGCATTTCTCAATCAATCGTCTATTCCTTCGTTGTTTGCACGACTACTTAGGGAATAGAATTAAAATTACTCGCTTTTTCTTCTAGTTCAACATCGTATAACGCGAATAACAACGACCAGAAATGGTAACTATGTGAGAGAGCTGACGTTTTTAGAAAACACTCACTACCATAAACTAACTGATAAAAATTGGCCTACAGGTTATAAGCAGATGAGAATTCTTTTGTTCGCTAACATCGGTTAAGTCAAGCAAAGCATATTAAGGGTCCCCCTCAGAAATGGTGATTTTCGGTCAAAAAGTCCGTTTGGAGATAAGCACATGGAAAGATAGCCTGAAGTGTCTACTTTCAGAATCTGTATTACTTTTGGTTACAAAACTGGTCTGTCTGGGATTTTGAGCAAGTTTTCTAAGAGCCTCGAAAATCGCATATTCAAATAATACTTTTTTCCTGGATACTTATGCGATTAAAATTTTTCTGAACACACAGCTTTGTAGAGCAAACGTTTCTCATCAAAATAAGACCTCGCACAACTCTAAATGATCTTGCGTCAAAAACTTACAGGCATTTTTCTAGAAGTCCTAAAATCGAGTATTTCATACAACGTTTAATACAGCGTTTTCAGTATAGTAATCACAAGATGCCACACAAGGTGAACTGGTATTACTGGTATCATTGGTACTGATTTAAATCTACAAAATCATCCTTATCTATTATATTTTCCATCAAGTTTAAGAATAGATCTCAATCATCAACTACATGTTCTAGATTCATATAATGCACGCATACTGAGGTTTAATCTAGACGATCTATCAATTAAACGGTACAACAATTATAAATTTTGGTATGGGTATGTTTATGTATACGAATGCGCAAACAGATGATATCGATGTTTCTGAATATTCGGGTTTACGTATTATTTTATGGAAACAACGAAATAGCTGGGACTATATCGTTGTTGCCAGCAACAGTGGAAGTGGTAATAATCAAAATCAGTTCAACAAACCAGGCGGTGTTTATGTTGATGAGCAAACATTAACTGTTTATATAGTTGATACCTCGAATCACCGTATACAAAAGTGGCTTAAAAATTCTACAGCAGGCATCACCATGGCAGGTGCTAAAAATGATAGTTCGGGAACACAAAACAAATCTGCTTAATTATCCCAAGCAAGGTCTGATGGTTGATCGAGAAGGAAATTAATACATAAGCGATACCAGCAATCATCGTATACGACAGTGGTTAGTAAATGCAACCGAAGGCAGAACGACCGTGGGTATCGAAGATGGTATTTATGATGCAGATTCGAATAAATTAAATGAACCACTGGGTATTAGATTTGATCAGCAATATAATTTATATGTTGCTGATAGTGGTAACAATCGTGTGCAGAAATTTAATTGGTAATGGTTGTTGAAAATTAAAGATTTTGATATAAGTTTTATTCGTTCCGAATACAAGCGGTAAAACTTCCATTAAAGTATTCAAAATAAAAACTATGGACAAAATACAAAATCAACTTTGTGCGAATAGAGATTCAAATCCATGAACTTAGCTTTGTAATAATTAAAGATTTTACGTTGTATGGAATAGGTGCTATGAAGTCACATGATGTATGAGAGTGCGAAAAGTATAGTGGAAAACTAATTTAAGATGTTCTCAGAAAGTTGATGTAGCTTTTTACTCCAAATCTAACAGACTTTTAGAGGAATTGTTGTATGGAACTAACTCATGTTGTTTGGCAAAGAAAAATTCTGTCTCAGCTATTTCTCGGTACCTCTACATTAAAATTTGCCCACAACCATAAGCATCTAGGAATACATCTAATGAAACTTCTATGATGACCATTGCATATAAAACAAGTAAACAACCAATTGTTACTACATATTTAAGCTAAAGAGAGAGAGGTAAACTAAACATATTTCGTACTGGCACAGAAAAATTCAAAAACACTTTTTCCCTTAGATTGTGAAACAATGGAATATATTGCCTGTCGACTGCAAAACATAATAAAATTAAAAAAATTTCGAATAAAAATTTATGATTTCTTTTTTCCAAAAACAAATTATAAGTGACCACATTTTAAACTCAGTGAGCGTAAATATGATTGTGTTCTAAATCACATGAAGGTCAATCTCTCTCTACTAAATTATGATCTTTTTCAAAAATATATGAGTACTAGTGGGTTTTGTGCTTGTGGAAAAATAGAGTCAGTCAAACATTTTCTGTCGGAATGTCAATGTTATCAGCATTAATGACTTCTAGAAAAATGCCTGTAAGTTTTTGACGCAAGATCATTTAGAGTTGTGCGAGGTCTTATTTTGATGAGAAACGTT